CCTCATCATCCTCCCTCCCCTCCCTCTCTTTCCTCCACCCTCCTCCTCCCTCTTTCCTCTCCCCCCCCTCCTCCCTCCCTCCTCCTCCTCCTCCTCCTCCTTCCTCGTCCTCCCCTTCCTCGTCCTCCTCCTCCTCCTCCTCTCCTCCTCCTCACATCCTCATCACATCATCATCATCATCATCATCATCATCATCATCATCATCAATCATCATCATCTCATCCAGCATCATCATCATTCATCATCATTCATCTCATCATCATCATCATCATCATCATCATCATCATCATCATCATCATCCACCTCCTCGTCCTCCTCCGCCTCCTCCTCCTCATCCTCCTTCAACTCCTTCTATCTCCTCCTCCTCCTCCTCCTCCTCCTCCTCCTCCTCCTCCTCCTCCTCCTCTCCTCCTCCTCCTCCTCTCTTCCTCCTCCTCGTCCTCCTCCTCCTCCTCCTTCCTCCTCATCCCCTCCTCCTCCTCCTCCTCCCTCTCCCCCTCCCCCTCCCCCCCCCCTCCTCCCCTCCTCCCCCTCTCCTCTCCTCCTCCTCCTCCTCCCCTCCTCCTCTCAACTCCTCTCAACTCCTCTCCTCCTCCTCCTCCTCCTCCTCCTCCTTCTCCTCCTCCTCCTCCTCCTCCTCCTCCTCCTCCTCCTCCTCCTCCTCCTCCTCCTCCTCCTCCTCCCCCTCCTCCCCTCCTCCTCCTCCTCCTCCTCCGCCCTCTGCCCCCCCTCCTGCTTCCTCCTCTTCCTCCTCCTCCTCCTCCTCCTCCTCCTCCTCCTCCTCCTCCTCCTCCTCCTCTCCTCCTCCTCCTCTCCTCCTCCTCCTCCTCCTCCTCTCCTCCTCCTCCTCCTCACTCCTCATCATCATCATCCCATCATCATCATCATCATCATCCTCATCCTCATCCTCATCCTCCTCCTCCTCCTCCTCCTCCTCAAGGGGGGGGGTCGAGCGTTTCAGGAAAGAGGCACCCCGAAGAAGCCCCCTCAGGCCCCAGAGCTTCAAGAGGGGTGCACGTGTGTGCACCCCCGCTGGTGGCCCCCCCCCACGAAGCAACGCCCGACTGGTGATCGTTTTTTAATTATTTCTTTTGCCGGTCGGCGCGGGCCCTCGCACCCCCCCCCCTCCCCCCCCATGGAGCAGAGCTTGGCTGTTTTGGGGGCGCCCGTGTCTCGAGCGGGTGGAGTCTCCCCTCACAGGACGCACTGCTGCAAGCAGACGCCATTGTCAAGCAGAGGTCCAGAGCCAGACCCCCCCCTCCCCCCGCCCTTCCGCTCGATGCCGAGACGCCGCATACAGAAAAAACGCTCACCTGGGGTGAAGGATGGCTCCGGCTGGGGCGGAGGAGAAGGATCGGGTCGGGTCGGAAGGGATTCGACGTTCCAGCGCGCTCGTCGGCGTTCGGCGGTTCTCCAGCCTCGGGCGCCTCCCGGCAGGACGGCGCCTCGCCGAGCGAGAGCGCTCCTAGCGGCCATCACGGGGCGCCCGAGCTCGGACGCCCAAGCCAGACGGGCCAGACGACGAGGATCACCTGTGTCACCTGTGGCGGACGAAGGCCAAAGCCAGACAGGCCAGACGACGAGGATCACCTGAGTCACCTGTGGCGGACGAAGGCCAAAGCCAGACAGGCCAGACGACGAGGATCACCTGAGTCACCTGTGGCGGACGAAGGCCAAAGCCAGACGGGCCAGACGACGAGGATCACCTGAGTCACCTGTGTCGGACGAAGGCCAAAGCCAGACGGGCCAGACGACGAGGAGCGCCTATGTCGGACGAAGGGGGGGCACGAAACCTGCTGCGTGCAGCTGGTGTCAGCCCCGCCGCCGGGCGCACGTCGTCGATACACAGGCGCCGGGAGACACGGGCGAAGCCGGCCATGCGAGCTGTCTCGCCAACCCCCCGTGTGTGTTCAGGCAGTGGCGAAGCGTCCTGGTTCGCCTATTATCGGGGGAGCGTAAGACCCGGGTTTGCCAGGACTCGGGTTCGCCATCGTTTTTTGACGACCGCGACTCGGATTTTGACGAGGAGGAGTTTCGTGGGATGTCTGCAGCGGGAGGCCTCGTCAAAATGCAGGCTCGGCCTCGTCATTTTTTTCACGACCTCGTCGGGGATTTCCGAGTCCCCCGTACCCGGGTCTTACGTCTCCCCGATATTAGCCCGACCAAACAATGTTCTGAGAGCCTGTTGTGGTTCCCACGAGATGTTCTTAGAGCAGCCCTGGCGGAGGCTGTCTTGTTTTAACACATCGGGTCTACGTTCTAAGAACAGTGTTTCGTTGTTCGAGCATTTTTGGGTTCTGAGAACATTTCGTGGTAGGACTATAGGGATGTCGGGACGGTCGGTCCCTGCTCAAGTGTTGTCCCCCCTCTTCCCGTCCGACCCGAGGGGAGGGGGCCCATCTCGATGATCCGATCCGGCGTCGATTCCGGACGGTCCTCGCGGCCCCCGAAGCGGTGCGGTGACCACACTGGACACCGCGTGGTGAGTCGGTGAGGTTTC